TTGAAGTACACACTGGGAACAGAATATTGCTTCAGACATATGCGGCACATACCCGCATAAAAAAGGCCGTGGTATGCGGCTATGGGATTCGCAGTTCATATGTACCCAAGGAAATTGTGAACGGACAATAATAACTTATGTGCGAGATAAGAAAAGCGTACTTCGGCAGCGTTGACCGAACGAATGCAAAGAATTGAAGTCAGGATCCCAACGGGAACCGAACCCAAGTGATCTGCGCGGCAGGTAGGTATTGTGGATTCATTGCTGGCTATCTAATTTTATATCAGAGCCATAAACATTACATATGCGCTCCTGTTGTACAGGCGTCATGTCGAGTTATAACGTCAGTTGTGGTTCCAGCGCCGGCTCCGGTTTTGTAGCAGTATATTATACAGCGGTATTCTTATGATTTAGCACGCTATATTTAGGCCTTGCTCTTGTCTGAAGGAATGCACCTTTAAAACGCACGTATGATTGTCACATAATCCGGCTGTAACTTCGTTTCTGTGCTCTAAAGTGACGTCAAGTCAGAGCACAAGTTACCTTTTAAACGCCTGTTCAGTCAACTTTCCTGCCAAGCCCACAGTGAGCGCACACCTGCCACGCTTACTAAAACAGTCGGATAAAAGACTATATAAACGCACCACACTCGTTGACTGCTTCGCACCAAAGCGATTTCTACAAGGCGTGAAATTCGCCGACTCTTTTGCCCCATGCATAACTGTACCCTTCTATTGCCCGTATTGCTAAAATATTCTTGCATTAGGACATTTTGGAGGATCCTGTGTCACTCAGTCGCGATGTCAGTAATATTTAACTTGAAAATTTTTTGCGCAAGCACACAGGCACACAGAAAGAAAGACAAACAAGGCCAAATCGCATGTTTTGCGTCAGTAATATTATCAGCGAAGGCTTGTAGTGAGACAGCACTTGCGAACACGTGGCTCTGTGAATGCGGGATGACGTTACTAGACAAGCTGTAGGCGTGCTTCTTGGTGTTTTAGCAGAGTGGGACATTGGGCGAGTTTGTGTTTGAATTCTTGGTGTTAAAACACACTGGCTGTTATCATCTTAATATGTGGCATTATATTGCTCGACACAGTGTTGGCTGTTTTTTATGCGTTTTCGGTGCATGTATTCGACGTTAGCGATTTCAGACAATACATTCTCAGCGCGCAAACGTAATGAGAGTCGACCTTTTATGATGATGCGATGATTCCGTCCCATCGCGCACCGTTCTTTGCGGTCGAAGCAGTCAGCCGCGATAGTGCCAATGTCGACGCCAACTTCACCGTCTCCTCAATTAACATTCAGCGTGAACGAGTCAACATGGAAATAAACGATAAAAAAAAAACTACCGTAGCGCTCCGAGTTCTGTTTTTTGTATGTTGTTAAAAATTCAGTGCTTACGAGAAAGTGCTCGATAGCAGGTGGCACCACTGATGCAGAGCTGTAAAGATGAGCTCGCGGGAAATTACAACGAACACTCGTCGTTCGGTGTATTGAGTGCCGAGCAGCAGGACGGGGCGAGAAAAAAAAAATCGATCGCTGCTTGCGCTGAACCGAAACCTCCCACTGACAGGCGGTTTTCGTTTCTTGCTCTTACCGCTTGCATACTGAATAAGCTCGGCCGTCACGTCCATAACGTGCATTAAATTATCGTGCTCGCCTCTCGGCGAGTGTGCCCGCAGCGGAACGTTGCGTAGCTGTCCGAACAGAAGCGTGCATTATCGCAGACGCTATACGGCTCTCGCATTCACCTCGGAAAAGAGGTCGAATTTTCAAACTATCGACGTGCCAGCCCGGCTGTTTATTTGCGAGTCGTCTGATCCCGTATCCGGGCACCGTGATTGGCTACTGCCAGGCGCTCTGCAGCAACGACGAAATTCGTTTTTGCGTTGACAGATCTACGCGTAAAGTTGGCTTCTGGTTTCTTATTTGCCGAGCGAAGCTGGAGCCCTCGTCGCACTGCGCGGCTTTAGCGCACAACAGAGGACGAAGAAACGAGAAGGTGTAGAGACTTGTTGAAAGGGGGTGCGACGTAAGAAAGGGGCTGGAAGAAATGAATAAAAGTATAAACTGTCGCGGAGAGCAAATGTGCGTTCGCGCTATCTCGGGGACGCAACACTCCGGAAACGGAAGCGACGCTCTATTTCCGGCGGCTGAGAGCCCGAAGACGTGGCGGGCGAGTTATTCGCCATATTAGGGCAGTGGGGAAAAAAATAAAAGAAAAGAGTTCGAAGGTAAACGAGAGAAACAGAGGGACATGGACCGACGAAAGGAAGGCTGAGCAGTTAAGAAAAGCGCGAGAATTTTATTCCTTGCCATGAGAAAAAAAAATGGTGCAGTTGACTCCTGCAGTTGTCGCCGTCCTCCAAATAAAAGGTCTCGTTTCTTCGCTGATGACAGAAGCGAGAGCTTATTTTTCTTCGCCGTGTGCTTGCGAAGTTGTCGCTGGTGCCAAGAGTGCGCGGTGCAAAGGATTCCACGCTGCCCCTTCTAAATTTACCCAGGCAAATCATTTATGACACGGACATTCGGAGGTATACACCAAAGACTGGTCACATATACTCGCATAACTCCCTCGAACATGCTCGTGCCGCATGTTTTAGCACTGCGGTTAAATACAACTCAGACTACAGGTACGAACTAATGGTTTGACATGTTTATACTGTGAGTTTTTTAAAGCGCGTATTCAGAGGGATACATGCTGCCCGTCGATTTTGATGCAGTATTTAATATGAGAGTATTAATAAGAGAGTACGCATGTTTCATTTTCGCACTATCACTTTTAAATAATGTACAACAGCGCTGAGCTATGTGGCCCTGGTGGGGCAAAACAAGACTCGCACACATAACAGAGAATAAGTAACTGATTATGATTCAAAGTACCTCTTTCAAAACGTAATTGAATATAGCAGTCAGTTAAAGCGCCGTAAAAGTAACTGAGCAATTAAACAAGTGTGGTAGATTATTTTTGCGTTACTGTTCCTAAATATTTTATTGCCTTAACAGAATATTGCAAGTTCGCTAGAACTACAACAAACTACCACGGCTTGCATGGTAGAGAGAAAGCTGAAAAGCCTACCGTGATTTCTGTGATACACTGGCATGCGTTAACTTTCAACAGAGAGTGTATCTCATAGTTGCAGTCACTGGTTCTTCAAAGATTTCCGATAAAGACGTCATCTGCTAGACTCAAGATGCTATATATAAATGCATGGCTGAAGAGAATTAAGGGTGGTATTATATAACGTAAAAACACCTTACACACCTGCTTGTAGTTGCCCCGCGCTTCTTTGCCAGTGGCCATATGTCTTCTGTGAAGCGTCAATCTTCGCCGTTTTTGGTGCTCGCGTAAGACGTTGCAGATAAAAGCCAAGTGAAATGAGAAAAATTACATATGAAGGTACTTCCGTCGTGTAAGACGGCGCAGTCGCTATACAGAGTGGTCGCATTATAGTTCGTGATGAGAACTGCCGCGGAATACTGGTTATAAATTAATATTAGAAAAGATCAATGATTACTGGTAATCAATTACAAGAAAATGTAATTGAGATACCCAGGGCATTGCTGCTTCAAAAAACCAAATAAGTATCAAAATTACAAAAAGTAATTTGTTAAAAGTATTCGATTACTTATAATGCGTTATGAGCAAAACACACCACGCACTCGTTATTCCAACAAGGCTTTGGACTTCGCTTCAACCTGCAGGAGACGATATTATGACAATGAAAACACCATAAGCGAATTTTATTCGTTACCGACATCAAGCGGATATTATTTATTTTTTAAAAAGGAGAAATGTTTATTTCTCTAAAAAATGTGCGTATTGTATGGGTTGTTGTCTGTCAATGAAGTACCAGCAACGGCCTAAAATCTGCATCACGTAATTTAACTTGGACGATTCGCTAAGGTTTCTAAATATTTCTTCCACTTGCACAAAGACGTCGGGCTGTCATGACATCGGGAGAAAACATGACTGACGAGAGTAGAAGGTTAGAAGATTGAAAGGCGTGTTACAGCACGTTGTTCGTTCAGTGAACCGAAAAGTGATTGTTTAAGGAATCAATAGTGGAGACCAACGTTTCTTACAGAGTATGGTGTAAAATTGCCGGCCAGTGGCAAGCAAAATAAAGTTTTTAAACATCGCGGCTCGTGCATTGTAATATTTTTGAGGAAACAAAGGGCGCCGCAAAGATTTGAAAATCGAACATGTGCAAAGAATAAAAATATTACTCGCGTTGTTATTGTTAACGGGCTTTTTATGTACCTGTTTCTTGTACTTTCACCTGTGTGCGAAGTTTGTTTCCGCGCACGTAACTGTTGCATAAGGTGGTAGTTAAGAGGCCATTTGCATGTGCTTATTAGTGTAGGCTGTGTAAACGTCCTGGCGGAGTTTCCTTTCTTTTGTGAGTATTCACTTTGTGTGAACTGTGTTGCCGTACGAACTGTACTTCTGCCTGAAAAATGTTCATTGCGGTGCCGAGAGTCAATGTGTGAATGTTTGTTCTTGTGTTCGTTTGCCTAGTTCGGTGCTTGTTGGCAACAATGAAATTACAGCTATACCGTGTTAGAGAAGAACAGCAGCCGTTGGCCACACACTGGTACACCTATGTCCATAAACGCGTTTATGTTTAAAGAAGTCAGGTGACACGTATCAACGAGATTTAACAGTTCTAGTCAAAATATATGATGTATATGATGTAAAAATACAAACGAATGTAAGCAGAGCTTAAGCAGAACCCCCCCCCCCCCCCCACACATATATATATATATATATATATATATATATATATATATATATATATATATATATATATATATATATATATATATATATATGAGTGTGAGTGTGTGTGTGTGTGTGTGTGTGTGTGTGTGTGTGTGTGTGTGTGTGTGTGTGTGTGTGTGTGTGTGTGTGTGTGTGTGTAAACAATGAAGTTGTTGTGATTCCGTCACTTATTTTGTCTATTGCTTCTTTTTCTTTCATTCTGCAGATGAACCGTCCAATTCAAGTGAAGCCGGCCGATAGTGAAAACAGAGGAGGTGAGTGACCAGTGATTTTCGTAATTCAACGTCATTGTTTACTCGAATAACAGATCGCAAGAGGAAAGAAGCACGCAGTCGGTGCCAATCCTTCGTTGCGCAGCGGTAAATTTGTCCATGCACCGAGTCACCACCGCGACCCGCGTGTAATCACTGCGGAAAAATAACATCAGAAAACAGACATGGCAGACGTGTCAAACATGAAACCGCGCACTGCTTAATGTTCGAAAAACTCCAACTTCCCTTTCGTAAAAATAATACCATTGACCGTTAAGCAGGATTGCGTAGTCGTGTGTTGTCGAGCACTGTTTGATGCGAGTTATCCTCCTGTACAGTGGATACACTCTGAGAAAAAATGGAGTATTCGGGGAGTAGTTCTGCAACACAACAACGATTGTCATCTAACTTGCTTGCGCCTCGCCGCGGTGGTCTAGTGGCTAAGGGACTCGGCTGCTGACCCGCAGGTCGCGGAATCGAATCCAGGCTGCGGCGGCTGCAGTTTCGATGCAAGTGAAAATGCTGTAGGCCAGTGTGCTCAGATTTGGGTGCACGTTAAAAACCCTAGCTGGTCGAAATTTCCGGAGCCCTCCCCTACGGCGTCTCTCGTAATCATATGGTGGTTTTGTGACGTTAAACTTCGCATATCAATCATCTTACTTGCTAGCATTTCCTTTCTTGAAAACCCGGCTCTGGCCACTTTTCTGTCGGGAACGCTACGTCACACTGATAACTTGCCCGCCGTTCACTGGAATCTTGGTGATTCCAGTGAACGGAATCTTGGTGATAAAACGAAATCTTGGTGATAAAACTGGAATCTTGGTGATAAAACGCGAGAAAAGTACTCGAAGTAGATGACGATTATTGTTGTGTAGCAGAAACACTCCCCCAATACTCTAATTTTTTTTTTTTAGAGTGTAGAAAGAAACTTCAGAGAAGGTCAGGGTGAGTCCTTAGCGGGTAGGTATGTTTCCTCTTAAAGAAACTGACAACTGGCCCGAACGTGTGATTAGATCCTGGTATAAATGTAAAAACTGAAATATAGCGACAAATTCAAGCGTCCTTCTCGCGCTGTGAGTAGGATTTATATTTTGATTGGGGTTTAAAATGAACAAAAGTTCGGTATTTGGCACCGCCCAGCGGCAGAGCTGTAAAGCTCTGGAATATAAAGTCGGTCGCTTTGCTGCGCGTAGTCACGTAATTCGATGCTGTCACGCGTGCCATAATTAGTCCTCAAAACTAGAGTAAGTATTCTATCATCCAGCCTCACTCAATTCTCTGCTGCTTACGAGGTAATAGGAGTTGCATGGCGAGAAGTGTCGCTGCCTTCGCGGTGGCATGGGGACCAACCATGCCGAGAGGTGGCGCTCGCACTAGGAGTGCACCCATACGTTGAAATCACCGCGCTCGAACACGAACAGTTCTTGTGCTCATTGCACCACGTGTTGCCGACTTCATATTCGCCGCAGACAGATAAATTCTGAACGTTTCGCGGTGTTTTCCGCGTTATGGCGTTAGACACTCTGACCGCCGAGCTTGCCGTTGCGGTCAAGAAAATAGGTACCATATATTTGTTGTCGCTCTTTCGTGAGAGTGGTGGAGAGGAAGACAAGACACATATTTATTTAGTTTCGTAGAGGCACCCTCAGTCCAGAATATCTTATTAGCACGGACGCAGACGCATCGAATCTCAGTGGCCATCTTTTCCTCCAGAATTCGGCAGAGACATTGTGCGAGAGAGAAAAAAAATACTTTGCAGAAGAGTCTTCAGTGGAGATATGAGTGCTGCGTGATTTCCCGATCAGGTTCGATAGGAATGGCATTATTCTTACGTCCCTTGTGTACACGTGACTGGCATGCCTACTACTTTCTTCGTCAGATGGTGCTCGCATCGTGAAAAGATAAGCTACGTAGTTCCCCCCGTTTCAAACGCTTAACGACGTTTCCTGGCTGTGGAAAAAAAAAAGGGAGGGGGGGAGAGAGGCTGTGAAAGTGCGGTGCCGAAACGCATGGCAAGCTTATGTCGATCGAGCGACGCCCTTCTACTCGGCAGCCAATGCCACGAATCCTGACATGAATAGGCATAAACGAACCTCGCCCCAAGGCGACGGAGGACCCGAAGGGGCTGCCAAGTGCGAAGAGTCACGATGTTCCCGTCCTGCCGATATCGAATAAATGACGCAAAAGCAACGCAAAAGGGGAAAGATACGGGCGGGCGCATACACACGGAGAAGCGGAGGAGGGTCGTGCCGAGCGTGCATGGCGGTGTGTCTCGCCGTGCATATTCAATATCGGCTCTCCTCGGCAGGATGGCGCGGCTCGAATAAAGAGAGCGGGATTCGAAGGGGGGGGGGGGGGGCAGAAGCGGGTGGGCTTCGAAAACGGCGGCGGCGAAATTCGGTTTTCCACGCAGTGCTCTCGATGGAGTGTCGCCGCGGCCGTCTTGGTATGCCGCGCGAGCGACCGGCGCCGGACCCATATCGAACCGGTATGGCGCAGGCACTCGCCTGCATTCTTTTTTTTTTTTTTTTTTGCTCTCGGCCGTGCTTGCACTCGGAGAAGACAAAACGGTGCACGCACGACCGGCAGGCGCGGCTCCCCTTCTGGGCTGCTTTGTATGAAGACGGTGGCACGGGCGCCGTATATCAGGCCGCTGCAGAGCGGCCGCCCTTTGTGAGGACAGAACGCGCCTGCTTGTGCACGGCCTGCCCGTGAGACTGTGTGCTCTTTCATTTGCATCCGAGGTCCGTGCTTTGTGTGTCGCGCCACTTGCCGGACTCGTCTGTTGCGGCGATATTGCAAATCTGCGACAGTTGTTTTCGTAAGCGGATGCCAGAAACGGGATTAGACGCGGCCTGAATGTAATCGACTGTCATGACGCACTACGTGTGTAAACGCTCCGCGTCGAGAGAAAACGCTTATTCCTTGGTGTTTCTAAAGGCTGATACTCCGCTATGGTGGCAGCAAAACATTCGCGCAACATATGTCTGCGAGGGCCCTCGTTTGGACCTCCATAAAGGACATTCTTCCGAGCCACCTTAGGCCAGCTGGAGAACTACACACACACAGAAATCAGTGTTATTGAATACTGACCGACAGACGGTGCGACAACTATGCATTAAGTTGCGTTCTTATATTTTACACGGACATTGCCATAGTCATACTGACTCAGTCTCCGAAAAGCTCCCCAAAGCTTTTCAATTTGCATGTGCTATATAAAAGCACATATACAGACACTCGTGTGAGTTTACATGGAAATACTCGCGTGAGTTTACATAAGCGATGGTTCATCGCCCCCTCCCCCTTTCCCTGGTGGAAATTTCTGATGATATCTTTGCAGAGCTGGACAACTGTGAAAGACTGTGTGCCCTCACACGTGTTTCAGACGCTGACGTATAGCACGGAATACGCAAGAAGAAGCAAGTCGCACCACCTTCATCGTGCGCTTTCGACGTACACATGCAGTAATACGTCAACGATAGCGCGACATATACTATTCAAATGTTGATGCTCTCGGTACAATGTCATATCTCCTGTCGTTTTCATCTTCACCGGGCTGTCCTCAAGCGTCCAAATCGACACATCGTTACTTTGGCAGTCTTTGTACACCGTTGCATATGCAATTTCAGCGTGCAGTATATTTAGACCGCTTCTATTATATGAACCTCGTTGCTGCAACAAGGATCTGTCGAGCTGATTGGTCGGGCCTCAGGGATGGCTTTCGGAGCATGGCCGTTTGTCAAGCTGCTGCTCATCGTGTAGAGACAGACGCCCGCTGGGATAAGACCCTGGGCTCCGCAGCCGGTCTTAGTCAGCCGGAGATTAAAAGTTGCACGGGATGTAATCCCGCCCCCCGGGGATGAGCGTCCTATCAAGGTTCGTCCCCCGAGCCCCAGTTGCTGCTCTCGTGCTTTGTATTCATTACTGGACCGTCTAATCGAGCGCCCGTGGTCGCAATGGTTGAACACTCTGCTTGGTTGGTTACGACGGCGTTGGCGGTCACTCCTCGAAATAGGATACAGCTGCACGAATGGCTCCCGTCCGGACTTGCTGGACCACTTATTTGACCGAAGGCCAGGTTTCATTTTTCGTGCACACGAATGTCGTGCCCACCTCGTTGAGATCGGAGCCCCAAACTTTCACGGTACACCTTTAGAAGCAAACGAAAAGTAGCAGATGTGGGTAAGAGGACCTCGCAAGTGAGGCGTAACTTCGGTGAACGAAATTAAAAGCATCGAGGATATCGTAAGAGCGGGGCACTTTAATTGGGGCCCGGGCGGTCTTTTGCTATGGACGTTTCGCGTAGCTTGAAGTGACGCTGGCAAAAGAACGTTGAACAGAGCCACCTGTAGCTTGGTGAGTGCGCGCTCACACCAAGGAGAAATCTGCATCCACTCGTTCTTCGGGCACCTTGAGGATGATGTCAAGTTCGGAACACTTTATAGGCCCCGGATGTCGTATGCTGTCGTGGGCTGGCTTAGTGCAAGCAAACCCCACATATAAAAACCGAAAAAGAAAAGAGAAAGCAAGACGGAAACAGAAAGAAAGAAAAAGAAATGGAAATAAGTAGGAAGAAAGGTAGAAATGAAGAGATAAAAAGGTGGAAAATATGAAAAAGCGAGAAGAGCCATACAACATATTGGTGCTGTACACTAACTGCCTCTACAAAAGTTTTTTTTTTTTTCGAAACTATGAAATTCTTCCAGTTTAATCTTTGTACAACTGCAGGCTGATATTGTTGTATAATTAAGAATCACACCAATACCACAACTAGTCTTGTTCAGTTAAACGTAAACCTAAGTGTTCAATTCGCCAGGCACAAAAACAGTTTAGACTATACCCCCCCCCCCCCCAGAACAGTTTATAATAAGCAATCGCTGTACATTTCTTTGTCTTTATGTACAACTAAAAGAACACTCCGGAAACGACAGTGCTCTTCAAACATAGTGGGCAGATCACAAAAGAACTAGTGGAAGCATTCTATATCAAAAAAAAAAAGAAGG